CCTGAGGAAAATGGGAATCTCAGAACACTTGATTGTGCTTATGTAAAGCCTATACTTGGACCAAGAAGCAGTCCTCAGAATAGAGCAAGGAAACACTGCATGGTTCGAAATCAGGAAAGGAGTGCATCAGTGATGCATTATATCCCCATACACTTTAATCTGTATGCAGAACAGATCATTCAGGAAGCAGAGCTTTATGAGGAGGAGTATGTCATTAGATTGGAGACTCATTATCAACCTACAGTATGCAGATGACACAACCTTGCTTGCTGAAGGGGAAGAAGACCTGAATGAAGTGTTTTCTGCAAAAGTTCAAGGACTGTAGTTTTCAATATGGATTGAAGCTCAACATCAAGAAGACAAAGATTCTCACCACTGGGCCAACTGGCAATATACCATGTAGATGGAGAAAAGATTGAGGTTGTTAGTAATTACAGTTTGCTCGGCTCCACAAATAACACTCTTAACACCATCAGTCAGGAAATCTAAAGACAAATGGCATTGGGAAAATCTACTGTCATGGACCTCTCCAGAGTGCTGAAAAGCAATGATGTTAGTTTAGAGACAAAGGTGTGCCTAATCCAGGCCATGGTGTTCTCAATTACTTGTTATGCTTCAGAGAGCTGGACAATGACTAAGTATGACAGAAGAAGAATAGATACATTTGAGTTGTGGTGCTGGAGAAGATTCTTGAACATCCCATGGACTGCAAAGAAAACAAACAGGTTTGTCTTGGAGAGGGTGAAAACCAAGTCTCTCCTTGGAGGCTACGATTTTGAAGCTCCACCTCACCTACTTTGGGAACGTGGTCAGGAGATGTCATTGGAGAAAGACATCATGCTCAAAAGGTGGAGGGACAGGGAAGGAGAGGAAGACCCCAGATGAGATGGATTGATACAGTATCTGGGGCAACGGGGGTTGGTGTTTGAGAATTAGAATGGCTCACAACAGGAAAGAGTTCAGAGCTGCTGTACATAGATAGGGTTGCTATACATAGATAGGGTTGCTATACATTGCAGGTAACTCAACAGCACATAACAACAACTACATATTATATTGGGTTCCTTTTGTTTTTTATTTAAGCCTCTTATTTAAAGTCAACAAGGCCTTGAGGAGGGCCTTTGTATGTAAAGTTGATTGTTACTATATTTTGGAGGAACATTCTTCTAAGTGGTACAGTACTCTTCTATCAATATGCTGTACTGAGGTAACCTGGGGTTGCTGTGATGCTGAATCTTGTGCCACTGGAATGTCAAATGCAATAACGATTATTTGGTAGACAGTATTTGGTGGTGTCCCCGGTTTAGACAGGTTTGGAAGCAGGAGTGACATTCATTTCCTAAAAAACATTCCTCTGGAAACTCTATGAACTTTGATAAATGTCGATAGTTCTAGAAAGGCTTCAGGTCTTTGTTCATATGGTCACTATGAGTCATGCTCGACTCGAAGGCAATCAACAACAACAAATACACACAATGCAATAATATGCTACAATAAAGGATAATTACAACCCTATGAAATATCTCACAATATAAATGAATTTGGAGGACATTATGCTGAATGAAATGAGCCAGTTGCAAAGTGACAAATATTAAGTGAGGCAATTATTATTTAAAGAAGGAAAGAACAAGAAAAGGTTTATACATAGGAAAATAAATACATTCTTTGGCTGGTTACCAGGGTTTGGCAGGGGGAGAGAGGGAAAATGAGTAACTAGACAGGAAGTAATAATGATGAAAGGAAAGTCAATACAATCAGATCAAAACAAAGGAAGGTCCTTAGAGGAACACAAGGATAAAGGGCTTCAGATGTCCAACCACAAACAAATGGGTTGAGAAGTTGTGGAACATTCATACAATGGAATACTACACAGCACGCTGGAGTAATCATTTTGTAAAATTACTACCTAACTTGGGAGGGATTGGACAGCATTATGCTGTGTGAACTAACTCAGTTCAGTTTATACTATATAAAACTATTATTGTAGAATGAGTATGGGGATCCAAAGTGGGGGTGGGGGTGGTATGGAAACATAGGAGTGAGAATGGGGGGTTGGGTGTTAATCATAGTGTTGCACAATTCTATGGGTGGATGGGGTGAAGGAAATGGGAAGGATCTTTCATGAAAAGCAATGTATTAAATCTTTGTAAATAAATCAGAATAAAAAATCCCCAACAACCCAAAACCTTGCTGCAGAAAAAAAAAGGGCTTAGCCATAAGGAATTGTACTACCAACCCCAAGGTATAAGGTTCACATCCACCAGCTGCTCTATGGAATAAAGATGGGCGGTCTCCTCCCATGCAATTTACTGCCTCTGAAAACCCACTGGAGAGTCAGCTGTGAGGCAGAGCTGACTTGAAGGTACACGTCAACAACATGGTAACTACTAAGGAGCTCTGATAGTGTAGTCTGTAGAGAGCTGCACTGCCAGCTGGAAGGCCACTTCTGTCTGGCAGTTCGAATCCACTAGGAGCTCCACTAGAGAAAGATGGGCAGTTTCCGCCCATGTGATTTACACCTGAAGGAAACATGCTGGAGGGTTATACAAGTAGATTCTGATAAATACTAATGACTTTTTTTTTTTACTTTTATGGTAAATTCTATAGCATAGATAATCCTGAAACAAAAGTATTAACAAATAATAATTTACAAATGGATACATAAGTAGATACATATGCTAAAGAGGTGTGAAAAGGGAGTCAGGATGTTGCTTTTTCTACACACATAATTGTTGGTGTTGCATATATAGTGACATGGACACTAGAGCACACAGGGACGTAGCCATAGAAACCTCTTAAACATAAGCAAACACCTATTAAGACAAAGCTTTGAATCTTTCCAGAACACAACTGTTGTCTTCTTCTGATATAGAGCAAAACAGAATGAAGAAAACCAAAAATCCAAGGGACAAGTTAGTCCAAAGGTGGGCTAATTATTGCTCAAAATGGCTTTCTGAGGCCCCTGCCTTTGACTTGCAGCACATGCCTCAGTGGGACTATGTAAGCACAATGTGTAGACTAATGAAGGGAATGGTCAGCTTTATCCTCTTGCCAGTATAGAGGCAGAAGATGGGAAGTACTACCAGTAAAAGCTAAGAAGCACAGAATGCAGCAAACATCCTTTAAAAGGAAGAATTACTAGTTTGAGGTCAGATTTCTGTGCAAGTCAGAAGTAGACTGAAATGGACACACAGCAGCAGCAGAGAACCAGAGACTGGTGGGACAGAGCTGAGCTGGAAGTGCTGCCTCACAGTGCCAGAGCGGTGGACCTGCTGGAGGGTGGGGCGGGGGTCAGAGTTGTCACAACTGGCAGGACTAAGAGAGTGACATTAACCTAAAGACTCAAGGCTGATGGTCAAAGGACCCATAAGCACGCTTAATAAGCTATCCTGACTGAAGAATGGTGCCTTATTACCAACCTGAATTGTAATTTGTTAACTTTCCTAATGAATCTCATAATCCTGACTATGGTTCTGTGAGTTCTGTGTGGCCACTGCAAAGAATTAGCAGACCTAATAAGAGAGTAGCAGCAAGACCTTGGAAGGGATAGTTAGTGTCATAGTTATCAGAAGAAGGTGCAGGAATGTGGGAACACATCTGACCTCACAGGAATTGCTGCTGTGCTGTGGATATTTTTGATGTGGACTGTACCCCCTTGAGATGTTAGTAAAGTCAGATGCAGCTGCCCCCAGATGGCCTGTACTCTTTTTATAAAAAAACCTAAAGGAGCACATAATCCACAGCTTATATGAGCTCAATGCTAGAAGAACTAGATGTTACCTAGCTGAAACTACCAACCACTAGGATCAGAACAGAAGGTCCTAGACGGGGCAGAAGAAAAATTTAGACCAAAATTCAAAAAAAAAAGACCAGATCTAGTGGTCTGACAGAGATTGGAGGAAAAGATGAAATTCCAAAACTATGGTCCTAAGACATCTTTCTGACCCAGAACTAAAGCCATCCTTCTGTGCAAGAGATAGGTTCCTAAAATAAATAATGACACTCAAGAGGCATGTTCTCCTTAGAATAACCAAAGTAGGCTGAAAGCAAATGACAATATTTGCTCAAAAGCAAAGATTACAATTCAAAAAGTGGTAGAAAATGCAGATTAAAAAAAAGAAGACTCACAGTAAAAATGGAGACAGTGCTGACACATTATGTACAACTATCGAATGGGAAACTAATTTCCTTTGTAAATTTCCATGTATAGTACAATGAAAAAGATTATAGTCGATTCATTTTATACCTAAATGTGAAATAACTGTATTTGATTACAGCTAAAGAGTGATGAAAATGAATACATTTGCCTTAGCTTCCTCCACATGCCCAAAATATCCTGGTAGTTTTGAGTCAGTGATCAAAGCAGAAAAACAGTTGAATTCTCTCCAGAAGACAAGCAAACTCAACAGCTAAATCTCTGGTTTCATTAAGCTATTACTGTAAACAAAATAAGGCTAATTCTTTCAATTACGGGGGGAATAAAGTAAGAATTATCTTTTGTTCACTATCAGGGTTTTTGTTTTTTCATCTCTGAAAGTTAATATTCCTTTCTGGTAATATAATACATAACAGACAGACACACACACACACACACACACACACACACACGTATGTACACATGCATATGTATATGAGGAATGTCAAATGTATTCTTGAAAAAGAAGAAAACCAACAAGCACTGCCAGGCACAGTACTAATCATACTACAAATCGATGTGTCTAAATTTTTTCAGTTATTTAACAATGTAAGAGGTCAAACATAATACAATTTTTTTTTATATAGAAGTCTCAGAATTGCCTTTTCAGTTAAAAGGATACATGTTAGAATACTGTTATTTTTTAAAAACACACAAAACTATATGGTTATTATGAGATAAAAGGATTGTAAACAACTGTTTTGTGTACGACATACTAAACAAAATAATTATTTACTGATCAAAAAATCCTGTCTATCAGGCAATACTTATGGACCAAATACAAAAAATAAAAACGTGGAAATACCTCACAATATATTCATATCCTCGCTGGTAAGAACCTCTTTCGAAGCTTGCAGCTGAAAGAGGAACAATTTGCTCTGCTCTGACTAGTTTCAATGTGTCATAAAAAGTTGAGGTGTCTTTCTTTTTGGCTGACAGTAATAGCTGTCCAAGTCTGACACTCCATGTTGTAGATTTCCCATCTGAAAAACACAGAATCAAGCAATGTCTTGATAGTTGATCAAGTCCAAGAGTCAGTTCTCTTTGACCTGGTGAAACATTCAGCAGAAATACTGAACAGATGGCTTCATTCTACTTTAAATTACTAACGAGGGAATAAAAAAACAACCACAACAGACTAAAGTATTAATTATGAATGTGGCATAGCTATTTAACAATGAATATTTATGGTGTATGAAACAGATGCATTTTATGATGTCGTTTTACCTGCTGCCAAATAGTTTTCTACCAGATCCCACTGTGACAATTTCCAAGCTGCTTCCACTCTGTATGTGTTTAGTTCATCTGTCCATTCAGATCTATTAAATGAAATACACATCTTTTACTCATTGACGCTTAAAGTGGTATTTACAAATTTCTCATAGTTTTAGGGACATGTGTCCTATTTATTAATTTGTATTACATTTTGTATTTAGACACAAAACTACTCTCTCTAGCCAGAAACCACCCAGAAAACTTAAGTCCTTCCATTTCCTTATAAACATTTTTCAGTAACTGCTTTGAATATAAACATTTAAAATGCCATTCTTTAACAACATTGTTGACGCCGCTGTCAAGTCCTTACTATGTCCAATGGTAGTCTGAAGTTCTGCCCTGCAGGGCATCAACCTCACAAGGCCACTGTCTGACTTTATGGCTGTAGCCATTGTGCCAACCACCCAGGTCCTCCACTTCATCAGAGATGATGTCTTCCATCAGCAACTGATCTTGCTTGATGGCATCTCTGAGGTGACTGTCGCACCAAGTTCTGCTAGAAGCCATAAAGCATTTATTAGCTAATTAACAGAAGCAGGGCAGCAGACCCTTCTTCCTGGACTTGTATCTGTCTAGAAGCTCCACTGAAACCTGTTTACCATGGATTGCCCTACTGGTATGTATGTATGACATGCTGGTGGCACAGCTTCTAAGAGTGGTATGCCAGCCACTGGAGATTTCTGGTGGTGGAGTCACGAGTTGCACTGTTAGCCTCAAGGCCATGTATATCCAGTTTAAAGGCACCAATGGCTCCCCTAAGTGCTTCCAGCTTCTGAAATCACATGCAGGATCATGATGAGTGAGAACTGACTCAAAGGCTCTTTACGGTAAGAAAAACTGACTGGCTGGTGGTGGGTGCCACATATCAGAAAAGAGAGAAGGCCTGGGTAATTATACCAGTCTTGATGTAGGATTAACAAGGCCAGTTAACACAAACATTATTCAAATTTATACATCAACCAAAGCTGAAATAATTAAAGATTGTGAAAAACATCTACAGTCCGGAATTGAGGGGAAAAAAAATAAAATCAAGATACACTCCTAATTACCTACAATTGGGATGTGAAAGCTGGAAAACATGGCTCTGGTGATAGATATGATGCTAGAGACCATATGATAGAATTTTGTAAGGCCAAGGACTGACTCACTGCATATACCTTTTATTCAGCAACTTAAGTGAAAACTATCTAGGTAACTCTCACTAGATAGAATATACAGATACCAAATCAATTATATCTTTTAAAAGAGATGATGGAGAAATTCAATATCATTAGTCAAACAAGGCCAGGGGTCACTATGGAATACTCCATGAACTGCTCATAAGCAAATTCAAGTTGAAATTAAAGAAAATGAAACAAATCCTTGACAGTCAGACTATGACTTTTGGTATATCATATCTCAAGAACAGAGTTGATATAGTGAACTCTAATGACTACAGAAAGATCAGAGGAAAAAGCAAAAAATCATTGTAACAATAGGAAAGAAAAGGTCAAAATGGATGTCAAGAGAGACTCTGAAACATACTCGAGAAAGCAGTGAACAAATGAAATGATGATATGAAAAAGTGAAATAAGAAATTTTAAAAAGTAGTGCAAGAAGACAAGTATTCTAATGAAATGTGCAGATACCTGGAGTTAGAAAACCAAAAAGGAAGAACATGTTTAGCATTTCTCAAAAGAACTGAAGAAAAATTAAAGAGTGCAGTTACACTAGTGAAGGATTCTGGGTGCAATATATTGAAAAACACATGAAGCATCAAAGGAAGAAATACTGACGCATTTTGCCAACAAGAACTGGCTGGTGTTCACCCATTTCAGAAGGTGGCATATGATCAACAATCAATTTTACAAAAGGAACAAATACAAGCTGCTCTAATGGGATTAATGAAAAACAACACTGCAGGAGTAGTCAGAATACCAACTGAAATGTTTTGACAAACAGACGTCATCTATGCCAAAATGTGGAAGACAGCAACCCAGGTAACTGAATGAAAGAAATCACACAGGTGCCCATTCCAAAGAAAGTTAATCCAGATAAAGGCAGAATTTATCAAACATCATCACTAATATTACATACAAGTACCATTTTGCTAAGCATAAGTCAAATTAAAAGACGGTTTTAGCAGTACACTGATAGGGAACTTCCAGAAATTCAAGCAGTATTCAGATGATGCTGTGGTATGAGAGTGATCATGCTGATGTCAGCTCTATCTTGGCTGAAAGCAGAGAATACCAGAAAGATGTTGACCACTGTGTCACTGACTATGCAAAGGCACTACTTTTTGGTTCGTAATAAATTATGGATAACATTTTGAAGAGTGGGGATTCCAGACCCCTTAATTGTGCTCATAAAGAAATATACATAGTCCTACAAAATAGTCTTTCAAATAGAATATTGAGTTGTTGAAAATCAGGAAAGGCATGCATTAGGGTTATAGCCTTTCAACATACTTTTTCAATCTGTATGCTGATCAAATAATCTGATAAATTAGACTTGATGAAGTAGAAAGTAACATTAGGATTGAAAGAAGTCTTATTAACAACTTTTAACATGCATATGACAGAACTCTGCTTGCTGAAAGTGAAGAGTACTTGAAGTACACACACACACACACACACACACAAAATAGGTAGCATCATGACAGATGGTGAAGAGATTGAGACTGTTAACAGCTTCAGTTTGCTTGGTTCCACAATCAACACTCTTGGAACCAGCAGCCAGGAAATTAAAAGATGAATTGCATTGGGAAAGTTTGCTGTCACAGACCTCTCCAGAGTACTAAAGAGCAATGATATCAATCTGGAGACTAAGGTGCGTCTCACATAGGCCATAGTCTTTGCAATTACTTGCTATGCATCAGAAAGCTGGACAATGACTAGGCATGATAGAAGAATTGATGCCTTTGAGCTGTGGTGCTCAAGAAGATTATTAACTATAACCTGGACGGCTAGGAGAACAAACAGGTTCGTCCTAGAGAGGGTGAGACCACGCTGCACGTAGGAGGCAAGGATCTTGAAACTTCGTCTGACATACTTTAGACTTGTTGCAAGGCAGGACCAGTCCTTGGAGAGGGACATCATGCGTGGGAGGGTGGAGGGACAGCACAAAAGAGGAAGACCCTCGATGAGATGGATTGACTCAATGACTGGGGTAATGGGGGTAGGTGTGTCGGAGACAGTGAGATTGGCACAGGATAGAGCAGCATTTAGGGCTGTTGTACATAGGGTCGCTATGAGTTGCAGGTAACTCAACAGCACATAACAACAACAACAACAACAACAATAACACATATGTGTGTATATATGTATGTGTTTGTGTGTGTGTGTGTGTGTGTATGTGTGTGTGTATGTGTGTGCGTGTGTATAAAAAGATCAAATTTTAGCATAGATTACACTCCAACATTAAGAAAGCAAAAATCTTCACCTCTGGACCAATAAGCAATATGATAAACAGAGAAAAGACTTAAGAATTGTGAAGGATTTCATTTTAGTTGGACACACAATACAATACATATAGAAGCAACAGTCAAGAAATCAGTTAACATTGTACATTAGGAAAATCAGCTGCAAACGAGTTTTTAAAGCGTTAGAAAGCCCAGATGCCACCTTGGGAACAATGGCCTGACTTAAGCCATAAAAATTTTAACTACTTCACATGCATCTGAAAGCTGAGCAATAAATAAGGAAGATTAAAGCAGAATTGATATATTCTAAGTTGATTCTGGGGAAGAATATTATACATTGTCAAACAGAGCTGCCTTAGAAGAAGTATAATTGTAATGCTCCTGGGAACTAAAAATATCAAGACTTCAACTCATGTACTTTGGACAAGTTATCAGCAGGAAACAGCACTTGGATAAGGGCTTACCATGCTTAGTAAAATGTTAGTAAAAATAAGAACCTTGTTTGTAATGGTTGATACTGTGTCAACATGATCAGAATACTCAGAACAACAGAACTCTCACATTAGCTTTCAATTTTAACCTCTGTGATATTACAGATCCTTTATGTAGATCTGTTAGATGGGTGATCAGACTTATCTGAAGAATGGGAAATCTCCTTAAGGGTGTTGGCTGCATTAGTAAATGTTTGAAATTCTCAGATGACACCAAACATGGAGAAAGCAAAAAGTCATTAGAAAGATAAAGATAGGAAAATATAAGCGTCAGACACTAAAGAATGGGAAGATTTCAAAGACTAAGCCAAGTACTATAACAAACTCTACAAAGAGTTAGAGTTAGAAAACCAAAAGGGAAAAACACATTTGGCATTTCTCAAGCTGAAAGCTGCAATACTGATGGATTCTCTGAGCAAAATCTTTAATGATGCAAAAAGTATCAAGATGGAAAGAAAGCACTGACATGGAACCATTTCAAGAAGCAGCAGATGATCAAGAACCAGAGCTAATAAAGGAGTAAGTTCAAAGTGTACTGAAGAAATTGGCAAAAAATGAGGCTCCAGGAATTGATGGGACTACCAACTGAAATCCATCAGGATTGGTGGAAGATCTACTAACAATCTGCATTATGCAGGTGACACAACCTTGCTCACTGAAACTGAGGAGGACCTCATGCACTTGCTGCAGAGGGTCAAGGACTGCAGCCTTCAGTATGGACGGAGGCTCAATGTCAAGAAGACAAAGATTCTCACCACTGGACCAATTGGTAGCATCAGGATGGATGGTGAAGAGACTGAGATTGTTCACAGC